AAAAAATGTACTTGATACTTATACTTGTACTTGAAAAAGTACTAAAAGTACAAGTACAAATAGTTTCGTCCTAGCTCTGATGGAGATACCCTTGGGTCCTCATGTCCTATTATATGCAGACACTCTTAGGTCCTCATATCGTATTATATGGAGATACTCTTGGATCCTCATGTCTTATTATTTGAAGATACCCTTGGGTCCTCATCTTCTATTATATGGAGATACTCTTAGGTCATCATCCCGTATTATATGGAGATACCATTAGGTCCTCATGTCCTATTATATGGAGATACCCTTAGGTCCCCATGTCGTATTATATGGAGACACTCTTGGATCCGCATGTCCTACTATATGGAGATACCCTGAGGTCCTCATCTCCGATTATATGAAGATACCCTTAGGCCCTCGTCTCCTATTATATCGAGATACCCTTAGGCCCTCATGTCCTATTATTTGAAGATACCCTTGGGTACTCATCTCCTATTATTTGAAGATCCCCTTAGGTCCTAATGTCCTATTATTTGAAGATACCCCTAGGTTCTCATGTCCTATTATTTGAAGATACTCTTCGGTCATTATCTCCTATTATTTGAAGGTGCCCATAGGTCCTCATCTCCTATTATATGAAGGTGTCCTTAGGTCTACATGCGTTTTTCAATAAGGGTACCCATATGTCTGCAGAGGGACGTATGAATGCTAACACTTCCAATAGCAATACCAAATGCTATTGGTGGTATTGATATCGATATTTTTCAAAGGAAAATCAAACTTGAAAATTTCCAAAAATTAATGATAAATTCGTATTCCTCGCTCCCCAAAGTCGTTGTTCAAACTTTAGATATCACCGCTATTTTCCCAAAAAAGCCTATCCTTGACGAAAAAAGCTTGAACCTAAAATTTTGAGAGATTAATTTTAAGTTCTTCATTTTTTCGTCAGGGAAGGCTTTTTTCTAAAATAAGGGTTTTTTATAAAGTTTCATCAAACTTTGGCGCAGTTGAGGGATCCGAAACTATCATTAGTTCTTCCAAATTTTCAAGTTTGGTTTTCCTTTCTAAACTACCCATCCCAATACTACTAATAGCATTTGGTATTGGTATTGCAAGTATTAGCATTGTTACATTCCTCTGCTAACCTATAGGTACCCTTATATAATAGATCTTGGGGATCCGAGGGTACCTCCATATAATAAGAGATGAGGACCTAAGGATACCTTCAAATCATAGGAGATGAAGACCCAAGAGTATCTCCATATAATAGGAGATGAAGACCCAAGAGTATCTCCATATAATAGGAAATGAATACCCAAGGGTATCTTGAAATAATAAGAGATGAAGACCTAAGGGTATCTTCAAATAATAGGAGATGAGCACCCAAGGTTATCTTCATATAATAGGAGATGAGGACATAAGGGTATCTTCAAATAAGAAGACATGAGGCCCTAAGAGTACTTGCATATAATAGGACATGAAGACCCAAGGGTGTCTCCATATAATAGGACATGAGCACCTAAGGGTATCTTCAAATAATAGAATATGAGGACCTAAGGGTATCTCCATATAATAGGAGATGAATACCCAGGGGTATCTTCAAATAGTAGGAGATGATGACTTAAGGGTATCTTGAAATAATAGGACATGAGGGCCCAATGGTATCTCAATATAATAGGAGATGACGACTCAAGAGTATCTCCATATAATAGGACATGAGGACCCAACAGTATCTCCATATAATAGGATATGAGGACCGAAGGGTATCTTTGCTCATGAGAGCTCATATGAGCGTGAGCGGCACACCCCTAGTCTTGATCATAAAATTCGTTATTAGATATTACTTATCGTCATTTTTTTTTCTTTTTCATATTCAGGACCCAATTATATCAGAGCAGATCAAAGTTATCTTCATTCATATAAACATCGACAAAAAGAATTAAAACAAGAGCACAAGAACATTATGAATGTTATTACAGCTTATATTGTTCGTGTTCATGATATTTCGAATACATTACCAATAATTAAACAATTTAGTCAACAAATAAAAACTTATCTATATCAATGATATATGGCTCCATTATCTTATCGTGACATATATCGAACTCGAAAGGAACTCAAATTAATTCAATCGATTGAAGCTAGTTTAAAAAAATGGAAAATATATTCTTTGTGTAAAGTGGTATTTTGCATATAGTCATGCAAATGATTATGAACAAAAAGCAGAAGCTTATCGACAAAAAACTGGTGCTAATATTGAATTAGAAACTGATCCATTACGGACAGTATTTGATAAAGTTGTTTGTTTACTCAATAATCGTCGTTCGAAAGAACAAATTCGAGCATGGCAACTCGACAAAATGATGCCAAAACGAGACAAGGTTGCTTTGGCTTATTTATATTTCATTCCAAAACCTCATATAGTAAATTTCGAGCTTTTTCTTGTGTGACATGACTAGTTATTTTGTCTATTTTAATAGGAAGGAACACCATTAAGACCAATTGTCTCTCCAATGAATATACCAACAACTGGCATTGCCAAGTTTTTAGATAAAATAATTCGACCATTATTTGATAAACATGTTCGTTGGACAACGATTATTGATGGTGTTTATTTAATTCGTCGTCTTGAAACATATGTTGAAAATGATTATCTGAAGCCAACAGCTCAATTATGTACATTTGATATTACAGATTTATATACAATGTTACCACAAGAAGAATCACTTAATGTTCTTACAGAATTTCCTCTTCAACATGGCTATCATAAAGTACAAGGGTTCCAATTGATGCTATTCGGAAATTAGCTCGTATCGTAATTACAGAAAATGTATTTATCTATGAGAAGAAATTCTATCGGCAAATTATTGGTGGTACAATGCGATCAGCATTTACTTTAACATTGGCTAATATTTTCATGTGGAAATGGGAAAAAGAACTTGTTTGTCGACAAAATGCATCATATGAAATCTATGGTCGGTAAGTTTCTTTCATTGACGCGAACATGTATTTCTTCTATCTAATGCTATTATTTACATCATTCATAGATATATTGATGATATCTTCCTGACTTCAAATAAATCTTTGGACAAAATCAATCAAATGCTAGATGAGGCGAATCAATTTCATCCAAATATCAAATTAGTTCGTCAAATTGGTACAAGTATATTATTTCTTGATGTTTATATCGAAAATAAGAATGGTACATTGGAAACATCAGTCTATCATAAAGACGCCGCTGAACCGTACATTGTACCATTTAAATCTGATCATCCTCGACATATTTTCAAGAATATTATTGATGGTGCTTTAACGCGAGCAATACGTTTTTCATCTACACTATCAGCTTTCAACGAAGAAAGACGTTCAATCAAACTGATGTTACTATACAACGGGTAAGTTTGCCCTTCTCATTCTAATCTTTATGTGCTTATTTTACAATCATAGTAATCCACCACGATATATCTCAAATCGATCCCATAAATTCTTTTCAAATCATTTACCGACATCGTTCATTTTACCTATGATTAGTACTGAAAATGATTTTGCTTTCATACGCCATCAATTATTAATCAAACCCACGATTCCTGAATATCAAATAGCTAAACGAATAGAAAAAACAATTGATGTCAATAACAAAGAAGAGGTGAATAATCTGTTAGTTAAAGCCCGACTAGATAAACAAACAAAACATCAATCCAATCTGATCATTCATTATACACATGAAAAACGACTTCAAAGTATTAAGAGAGGGTCCATGAGACCATCAAGCATTCGAAGCACTCTTCAAAATTTAAATTTTTGATTTTTCATGTGCATTCGAAAGAACAATGTCTAAAACTAATAACCCTAAATTTTTAGCTCATTTGGACTTTTTATAGTAAAGTTAGCCTGGATCGACTTTTAGCACCGTCTACCTATAGTCTAAGGCAAAAGTTTAAGCGATCTGCATTTGTCCTTTCTCTTGTTCTGAGTCTATCGAAGTCCAAGTAAGTCGAACCCCTTTCGTTCACCTATCATCTTGTGCAGTTTTCGACGCTCTTTCCAACGGTGGGTGAATTACGGAGATTTGAGTTAATGGAACAGAGTTATTCCCGTTTTCGGTGTTTTTCGGGTCTCTAAGTATAATGCAAATAACTCCGCCGTCTTAAGTCGAAAGTCCGATGTTTTTTCACCAGTTGATAGCCCTTGAAATTCTGCATTGACCTATGTGACTTTCATCCCACTATGCCAAAACCTATAGGTCAAGAAATTAGTACCACCAAAGCGGGCCATAACTCAGCTTTCACACAAAAACAAGTTATGCTCCG